TGTACATATATATATATTTTTTTTCTCTTGGAGAGGTTTTTGCTATAGGGCGTGTACGCTCGCCAAAGACAGAGACAGAGAGACAGAAAGTGAGAAATCACTCCCCAGGGGGTATGGCCACACCACAATCCCTTCTCCTCCATTCTCTTCTCGGGATCTTGGGCATACAAGCACACACACCCAGTGTGAGTTTAAGCCACCGGGTCTGGGACTCAAACCGCGGTCAACTACGTGGGAGTCCAGTGACACAGCCATTATGCTAACTGCTGGTCTCTGTGATACATATTTTAACTTATGTACAAATATTGTCCCTTTTCACTGGATGTTTAAAAATCTGATATTTTTTGCTTCTTATCCAGAGTGGATTCTGAAAGACATGAATAGAACTAATTGTTGGTGTACCACTGGAGTGGACTGGGACTCTTTGGGAGAGGAATGCCTTAAAACATGGATGGGCCTCAAGTGGCTGGGGTGGAACATAGGTCTACCCACTGAGCCCAATGATGGAATGCTGGCTAAAGAGGTACTGACCCAGCTGGCCGAGCCTTCTGCATGGCAAATGGCTAAGGGAGATTCACTTTTGGCCTGGTTTCTGGAGTATGAGAAAGGAGATACCCTTTTGAAACATGAAATTCTCCGAAAGAATAGCAAATAATTTGTGAGAAAAATGCTGAGGTGAAAGAGGAAGTGAGTATACACTTCCAGTCCTCTGCTGAGAGGGGTTATGTAAAGGCAGAGTCCGTGATTATGCATCTTTGGATTCTGAGGGCCTGGTATGTGCAGCCCCCGTCTGGATGCACACCTGGGTGAAGCCGAAGTGAGTGAGATGACTGCCTCATGGTGACCAGTCCGTGTGCTTTGCCCACTCCAGCCCAGCTAGAAGGGGCTCCATAGGTGTAGGCTAGGGAACAAGGTGTAATTCCAGTTTTTGGTGGAGGGGAAAACACTGGCATCCTGGGATCATCAATGGTCAGTCAGAGAAGGGGAAGGGGAGGGCCTGAGGGTGGAGTGATATAAAAATGAAAGCTTTGCTGGAGACTTGCCTTAGGGAACTCTTCTTCCACATTTCCCATCTCTTACAAAGAGAAAGACCAAACACCCTTTTACTATTAAACTAGACACACACACACACACACACTCACACTCACACTTCTGGTGAAGTTGAAGTTGATAGCTCTTCCAATGGTTTGTAAAAATTCTTTGGGAGAAAATATTTTTCATCCCTTTTGATCTGTCAATTCTGTTGTCAGGAATTAGCATAAGGAATACTTTGAAATGTAGATGTAACTTTATTTAAAAAAAATGACCGTGTCTGCTATTTTGAATAGCAAACAATTGGGGATCTCTAAGAATCGAATCACAAAGACCTTGTTAAATAGTGATAAAATGTTATATATCTTTGAAATCACATGCCTATAAGGGTATAGGAAAATACTCATGATGTAACTTTACATTTAAAATGTAGGATGAACATAAAAAAAGCAATGTAATTTTTTTTCTTTTATTTTCCAAAGGGTATGTGTGCTCACCAAAAAGAGATAGAGAAACAGAAAAAGAGGAAGAGGGCAAAAACACACCCCCAATGGGGTGAGGTCACATCACAATCCTTTCTCCATCCTGTCGGGATTTTGGGCACAGATGCACATACCCCAGGCATGTTTCTCAAGCCACTGGGTCTCAGACTTGAGCTATGTAGTTAGCCATGTGGACTCTAGTTCTCTTAACCAATGGGCTCTGGGGCTCACCCTACAATGTAATTTTAATGATGTAAAATATATAGAGATTTTAAAAGGGTGATGGATTAGAATTTATTTTGATTCATGCTTTGTACATATTTAAAAATATTTTACTGAGTATTAGTGTCATCAGCAAAAAAAAAATGTTGGCAAGACTATGAAGAAATTTTTACACTCAATATATTGCTAATGACATCACTCCATGTACTGCCAATGACATAGAAAATTGGTATAAACTCCTGAAAAGGAATCATTTGCAAAATAAATATACAAAATACATTGAGAGGTGCAAAAGTATTCAAAATATTTAATCCTTAATACTGCTTGAAGGAATTTATTCTACAATAATTTTCTGCATGAAAGTATTTATCAAAGCACCAACAGTAGCAGAACATTGAAACAAAAATAAAAAGATCCTTTTAAAGGATAATGGTTAAATTGAAAAGCAATAAGATGGAATAGTTGAAGCAAAAAAATGTTAGCTATGTGAGCTATGAAAACGCTTGGAGAAATAATTGATAAGATAATTGATAAGATTCACTAATTTATTTACAGTTGCCTCTTTGGACAGTTGTGTATAGCCTTCAAATGAAAAAAAAAAAAAGAGCCCTCAGGACAAAACTGAATAATTGCTAAGAAAATTTTTGGTGAAATATTTGGAAGAGAACACACAAAAATAAAATATTGTCTTTGGGTATTAGGATTAGGGATACCTTTTTTTAAACTTTAATTTGTTGTTGATATGTATGTATATATGTATATGTGTGTGTGTGTATATATATGTGTATATATGTAAAATATGTATTTATGTAATATATATTACACAATTTAAGAACAATGAATCAAAAACATCCTGAAGTTTTCTAGAATATTTATTTTTTAAAAACATGACAAGTATGTCTAATTGAATACTTTTTCTTAGCTTATGGGTTTTCTCTTTTTATACTACAGAACATTTTTCCCCCTTTTTAAAACAAGAGGGCCAAGAAAAACTACTCTAAATGTGTAAGTAGCAGTACTGAGTAGTATTGTTTATACTATGACAGCTTCCTTTAAAACATACACTTTTAAAGGCATTCGTTTTTTCATTCCCATCTGTCCATTCATTCTACAGATGTATGTCAAGGTCCTACCATGCATTAGGCAATGTTTAGGCTTTGGTGAATTCTTGCTCTTGGGGTTTGCAGTCTACTGGGAAGACATGGCCATAACAAGAGTATGGTGAGCAGAGTCTACAGAAACAAGAGCCCTCCTAATCAGATCCAGGAGAATCAGAGAAGCTTCTTGTTCAATTGGCACTGGGAGGATAAGTCAGAATTTTCCAGGCAGACAATCAGGGAGGGCTCTCCAGTGAGAGTGGCAAACAAAGGAAGGAAAGATTGTAGAAAAGGGCATCTTATGGACGCACAGGTGGTGCAGACAGTGAGTTCAGAGTGGGGTTTTTTGCACAGATAACCCAGTTAAAAGTACAAACTCTATGTTCAAATCCCAGCTACTTCATTTACTAGTAGTATAAACTTCATGCTCTTTGGTTTTCTAATCTGAAAAATGAGGATGCTAATACATCTCTCATAGGATCACTGTGTGGTTTACATGGGTCAAGTTGTATGTACAGTACACATTGTGGGCACTGTAAAAAACTATATGTGTGTGAGTGTGTGAGTGTGTGTGAGTGTGTGTGTGCGGTAATAAAAAGATACAAGGCAACAATATTCAATTTGTTCAGTGAAAAAGTAGATGCATTTTAGCAGGTTTCCAAACTTCCGTCTCAAGAGCCCAGTTTTCCTGGAAACACAGTCTAATATCCCATGTTTTACTTTCTCAGGGGGCTGTCATTCAGGATAATTTGTCAAATGTCTTTGATTTATGACCAGTTAAATGAAATGGTCAGGATAACAGCACTCCTCCTCAATCAAATTCACTTTAGTGATTATTCACATAGAGAATTCCAGTTTGCTTAACTGTAAAAATAGGTTTTGTCTTCTGACTTTTCAAAAATTTAGAATATCTTCACCAGCACAGATAAACAAATGATAATGCCAAAACTGCCAGCATGTTCCAAGGAAGAAGACAGGATATTTGTGCTGTATGTATGTTTGTCCCAGTCAGCCTTAAAACTCAAATATCACCTGCGACTGGTCAGGACATTAATTAGAATTAGAAGGCAAAAAAAAAATATGGTGAAACTACCAGAGCATCTCAATCTTGCCTGAATTTTGAATATTTGTAGCAAACGCTGTTATAGGAGTAAAAAATCTTTTCACGTATTTCCCAAAACAACTATTCTGTGTGCATGTATGTGGTTCTGTCTGTTTAGGGGTGGCATGTTCTTCATTACGTTATTTGAAAATGAAAAAGAGTTGGGGAAACAGGATGGTGCTTTCTATTGGAATCAGTTATTTCTATGCTCAGAGATCCTGGTTATACCTTTACAGTTTCTAAGACAAAGATGCCAATGGTGTGTACCTTTATAAAACTATCTCTACTCACCCCACGGTGATGTCAAAAATGTTGCTTCCAACAGAGCTGGACACAGCCATGTCTCCTAGTCCCTTCCGGGCCACGATGACACTGGTGATAAGATCAGGGATGGAGGTCCCAGCAGCCAAAATGGTCAGTCCCATAATCTCCTCACTAATGCCAATTGTCTCTCCAACCTAAATGTCATAACAGGGACAAATATGAGCATTGGAAATAAATCACAAACATTACAATGCAAATTTCTTTGGATGAGCTCCTAATCTATGCTGTGCCAAGGGATGAGATGATAAAGATGAATAAGCCACAATCATCACCAATAGAGAAGTTATACTTTCATGATATTCAGACCCAAGAGAAGAATGAATGAAATTATTTCAAAGAAAAAGAGCTATTGAGGGCTAGAGTGCAGCCTCTGTATGTTTTCTAAGCCTGCCCAGAGAAGTGTAAGATTAGAGGTATCTACCATTAAATGACAGCTACCATTTCCATAGAGAGCTTAGTTTTGGGTGTCTTGGAGCTTGATAATACAAGACTGTAAATGCTCAAAGCAGCTGTGGAGAAGCAACCGCTAAGGAATCAGGACTTCTGTTCAAGGTCTGTGGTATTTATTCAGTACTTGACCTATTGTGAACTGTTCCAATTGTACAATGTCTTTTTTTTTTTTTTTTGGAGAGATTTTTGCTATAGGACATGTGTGCTCGCCAGACAGACAGAGAGAGACAGAGAGACAGAAAGCAGGAAATCACCCCCCAGGGGGGATGGCCACGCTGCAATCCCTTCTCCTCCATTCTCCTCTCGGGATCTTGGGCATGCAGGCACACGCACCCGGCGTGAGTTTAAGCCACCGGGTCCGGGACTCGAACCGCGGTTGACTATGTGGGAGTCCAGTGACATAGCCATTACGCTAACTGCTGGTCCCCCAATTGTACAATGTCTTTGATCTTGCTTTCTTACCCCTAAAGTGGGGACAGACAATAATACCTATTTTACAAGGTAGTTGAAGGGACTAAGAATAATTTGTGGAAAAGCCCTTTGTAAATAGTCCATCATTATTGAAAAGTAGAGAGAGGATTGGTGCAGACATTACATTTTCTTATGGTCCTTGCCTTTCGAGACTGTTGTGTTCTATTTTGGAGGGTTGGTTTTGCCTCAGATGAAAGCTCCTCCTTCCTCTTGAGCAGCCCATTTGTCTGCTTGAGAATTTTAAAAGCTTTATGTAGTTTTTGGAGTTGTTGAATTATAGTTCTGAGAACCTTTAAGATGGTCCTTTCCATTTGGATTTCATCAGTCTACCTGATGACATCCAGTTTTTTGAAAACAATGTGAAGGAACGAAATAGCATATAAAGATTCTTAGGAAATACAATGCACTCATTTCTAAAATAAAAAAAAAAGTATAAATATTACTGGTTCCTGTTAGCTAAAAAGCAAAACTGGGAGCTATTTTTATTTTGATGGTCACACCTGGTCCAAAGCCTGGTGAGCTGAACTAGTTTTTCCCGTCCTCATAGTGTGCAGATTCGTTCCTCTCCATTAGAGAGGCAGCGCCATGCAAGCAGGACCCTCGTCTAGGTCACGATGTGTCCCTACGTAGCCTGGCATATAGCAGATTCTTAGTGCCTATGATAGATAAACAAATCTATCTGCATACTTAGGTGATTTCACTAGCATATTTTCCCCACTGACTGTTCTACAAAAAGTTATCAGACCTTGGCACAAGAGTGCCCTATTTGAGCAAAATATTCTTCTTGATGACTGTTTTTTTTTTTTTTGCAGGGGAGGTAGATATGGACTGAAACATTGTGAAGATTGTGAAGATGCCAATAAATGATTGTCACTGTAAGTTCCCATCTATTTAATACATTCTTTTTCTAAAAAAATTATTATTATTACTTTTTCTATTTTTAATTTTAATTTATTTTATACATTTAACCACAATATATCACTTAGCTTGTAAAGTGAATTTACCCAACATGAATATACCTCGCACCAGTCCAGCTGAGGATACTATACAAGTTAATTTAAAATTTTAGCGTGTTCTAAAGCAATGACTATTTCAAAAAGCATTTATATTTGGAGTTTGGGTGCCACTACTGACAGAAAAATGCAGAAATTTAAGAGCAGTATGGTGTGGTTAGAACGCTGGTTTGGAAGACAGTCCCAGATTTTGGCCTGCCATTCCTAGTGTAAGGTGGCCACATTCTCCAAGTCTCAGTTTCTTCTGTCCGTAAAATAAGGACAATTACACCCACGCAAAGTTGTTGTAATGATTGTATGTGACTATGCATACAATGCAAATAGCGCAGTGTTAGGCTCAGAGTAAATATTCCATGAATATCTACTATTTCAACTCAAACAGCACTCTTTTCCCTTTCTGATGTAGCCTGTGGCAACCAGGCTCTGGGAGCAGGGTCAAAGCTGGTTTATTGGGGTCAAGCCACAATGTGGAAAACCACATGAATTATGAAGAATTTCACTAAACATCAAACTCCTGATGAATCTCTCTGGTTCTAGAAATGCTTTCCCTGAAGGAGAACTAATTTTTGCAAGCTCTTTTTGAGTCAATTTCACTGAAATTTACTTTTGGCAAATCAGAGAAAAGATGAGGGCCATGTGGATGGGACAGTACACTGGTCAAATCGGGATGCCCATGCCACCTATCTCTTGGGCACTTTACCTCATTTCCTTTTTAAAGTTTGTTATGCATATTTATATGATTTACATTTAAATCCATACATCTTTACAGTGTACAAAACAGTTTTTCCCCCTAGCACAAATACAGTGACTATTAGTCAAGACAAAGACATTATCCTATACATTATCATCAGCAATCCTTATTTTCTAATAGAAGTCAATGATGGGGCTACTTAGCATCTATTAGAAAGCTGTTCCTAACAGACTACAATATAGTCTCTTGTCTTAGTTGAAGGGGTTTCTGCAAAAGTGTTATATTCCTCAATGGGACACAACATCTCAATTGGCTAAGAATTAACTTCCCATGCTAGATGCAGAATAGATTTTAACCATAGGTTTTCATCACCCATGAAGTTTACTAAGGTAAAGATGCAAAATGATTTTGAGATGCAAAAATAATCAAACAAAAAAACTAAACAAAAGCAAAAGCTAAGGACAAATTGCATAAAGCATTCTTGTGTGAAGGACATTTATTTTTGTCTAAATAGTAGCCTAATTATTCATCAAATAGCATTCATTACTGGCGAAACTTGATAAAATAGTTGAGAACTTAATGGCACAATAGCTTTTATAGTTCAAAAGTACAAAGAACAGAATTAGAACTAAACGCCTTAGAACCAAATCTGCTATTTTAATCAGCTGTCTGCATGTCTTGAAAGAGAAAAGCATTTCTGTGGGAGAAAGAGGAATCTATGATTGAAAGTAAAGCTCTATGCCCTTTATACTTCTTTGCCTTTTAAAAATCATTGTTCTAGGAATTGAGTTTATACGCCTTTCTATGAGAGAATGAAAAGGAAACAAGAGTATAGAATTAAGATAATCATTAAAAAGAAAAGAAAAAAGTAGAATTTTTTTTCTTTTTTTGGAGAGGGTTTTGCTATAGGGCACACTCGCTCACCAGAAAGAGAGAGACAGACAGAAAGTGAGAAATCACCCCCCCAGGGGGGATGGCCACACCGCAATCCCTTCTCCTCCATTCTCCTCTTGGGATCTTGGGCACACACACACAGGCGCCCAGCATGAATTTAAGCCACCGGGTCTGGGACTTGAACGGCTGTCGACTACATGGGAGTTAGCGACATAGCCATTATGCTAACTGCTGGTCCTGAAAAAGGTAGAATTTATAGGATGGCTAAAGAGAGATATCTAAAAAACAGCATTCCGGGAAATAAAAAAAATAACTTTTTTCTTTATTAGTACATGAAAGAACTTTAAAAAATGATTCTTAAGAAAAAACCATTGTTGGGACCAGCAGATGGAGTAATGCTTATGCTGCTTGGACTCCCACAAAGGTGACTGCAGTTTGAGTCCTGAACGGGGTGGCTTAAAACTCATACCAGGTGTGTGTGTGTGCGCGCACGTGTGTGTATGCCCAAGATCTTCGGAGGAGAATGGAGGAGAAAGGATTGTGGTATGGCCATCCCCCTGGGAGGTGATTTCTCATTTTCTATCTCTCTATCTCTCTGGCAAGTGCATGGGCCCTATTGCAAAAATCTCTCTAAAAACAAAACAAGACAAAAAAAAAAAGCCACTGTACATTATAAATGTTAAATAGTCCTTTTGGCCTAGAAATCTGGATGCTGAGAAGCAGCCCACCTTCTGCTGCAATTTCTTTCAGGTGTTGGTAGCAAATGTTTCTCAATGACTGGAAAACAATGATTTCAGGGTAAAAAGAACTTCCTCAGGGCATCAATGAATTTAAAAAAACAGTAACAGTAATTTGAAGTCAAACATTAGTAAAATAACCATAATAGGAATAGTAGAAAATATGCCTATTATAGTTATTTTGCTGGCTACATTAGCCACTATTTCCAGTGGATTTTGCTAGTGCCATATATTGTCATTTAAAATTAAGGTATTCTTTACATAAAGTATAATTTTATATACAGTAAAATTGATTAACTCTATTAAACACTGTACAGTTGTACAAGTCTTCCCAAATGTATGCAACTGTTTTTCTCCGTATCAGTATCAACATGTAGTATTACATCTTGGAGATCAGCAGGTAGCGCGGTGGTTAAGGCGTTGGACACTCCCACATGGCCAACCATGGTTCCAATCCTGGTCTGGGTGGCTTGCTTTCTCACTTTCCTTCTCTCTCTTTCTGTGTGTCTCTCTCTGGTTAAATTAAAATAAATGAGTGAATAAATAAAAATTTAAAAAAACCCATGTAGTATTACGTCTTTTTAAAATAGTCAACTTAGTAGATTTTTTTTTTTTGAGAGGTTTTTGCTATAGGGCATGTGCACTTGCCAGATGGAGAGAGAGAAAGACAGAGAGACAGAAAGTGAGAAAACACGCCCCAGGGAGGATGGCCACGCCACAATCCCTTCTCCTCCATTCTCCTCTCAGGATCCTGGGCACGCACGCACACGCGCCCGGAGTGAGTTTAAGCCACCGGGTCCGGGACTCAAACCGTGGTCGACTATGTGGGAGTCCAGCGACATAGCCATTACACTAACTGCTGGTCCCACCAACTTAGT